CCCCCCCCCCCCCCCGGCCCGTTCATCCATCCCCACCAGCCACGCAATCCCTTCTAAAGACAGACGGCTGATCAAGACTACCGAAAGCTGTTTGCATCTGTTTTAATGCAGTTATGGATGGAGGGGTGACTAGAATCGGGGGCGGGGGAGGAGGGGAGTGACATTTCCCCAAACCCTCTAAGGATATAACTGGATGGTGAATGGAGTAAGGAAGGGGCCAAGAGGGAAAAACAAAACAAAACGAGGCGGGCAACAAAAAAAAGGGGGGGGGAGGTGAAGTAGTAAAGCTATTAAAAAGATGGGGGCCTCTTCAGGTTAATTGCATAACCTGGGAAACATGGAAAGCAGAGAGGGCTGTGCATTTCAGTCCATAAAGTTGATTATAACATAAGCCCATCTGCGTTCCAGTAGCCATTAAAATGGGAGGGGGACATTATAAATAAGAGTGCCCCTCTGGTGTCTTTACACCCAATTTTGGACCAAATAATGTATGCATAAAGATGGGTCTTCAGGGAATTCCCCTGGGAAGACATATATATGATCTCTGTACCTTCCCTGCATCCTTCTCTCACTGACACAAATTCTATTTCTTCCCCTCCCCTCCCTATAAGACATTCCAAAATGGTGTGATGCCAGAGAACTCTGTGGAGGGGGAGAGGATGAAGCCCTCTTTTGGTTTTGTATAATTACCTCTTGTTGTTTTGTGTGATATCCCTACAAACATGTACATAGTATACCACAAAATAAAGCATTTTATCGTGAACATGGCTGTCTGCGTTTTTCAGAATCTGTTAACAGCAGCAAGAATAGTGACACATTTCCTTTGTTGTGGTTGTTTACTTGCCCATCCCCTCCAAATCCTACCACTTTTAGGTTCTGGCAGATTTTAATTGTCAATTTCTAAACCTAAACTTCTCTAACAGAAGCGAAAGATGTTTGACCATAAGCTGTATCTTCCTTAACTACAGCTCAGTCTTAGAAGGAATATTTATTTTCTGTAAGTATGCATCAGTGTGGTTATATTTTGCTTTTTAGACTGGTTCAAAAAATAGTACAGTACTAAATTTCTATCTGATAATTGATACTATGAGGGCAGGCTTACATTCTCCAAGAGATTTTTCTCCCTTCCTTCCTTCCTTCCTTCCTTCCTTCCTTCCTTCCTTCCTTCCTTCCTTC